GCGGCGAGAGCCCCCTGGGCAGCGTGTGCCTGAGCGAAGGGGAGAAGACGGCGGTGCTCACGCTCATCCGCGAGGAGGTAGCGCCGCGCGCGCGTCCCCCGTGTCCCCTCACCCCATCTGACTCTGCATGCTGCAGTTTTGGGGATGCACGGGAAACTGGGGCGTGCTCGGAGCCCGTGTGCAGCATCCTGTGCCTGCCTCCCTGCAGATCATCACCAAGGAGCTCGAAGCGAGCGAGTGGAAGAAGAAGTACGAGGAGAGCCGGCAGGAGGTGCTGGAGATGAGGTAAGGAGCCTGCGACGGGAGCGCGCCGCGGCCGAGCGCGCCGCGCGCTGCCGCTCACGCGTCCTCCCTCCCTCCGTGCCAGGAAGATCGTGGCCGAGTACGAGAGGACCATTGCCCAGATGATCGGTAAGGCGGCCGCCCGCCCGGGCGCGTAGGACGCGGCCACCGTGTCCTACGGCCTTGGCCTTGCCCCGGCAGAGGACGAGCAGAGGTCGACCATGACGTCTCAGAAGAACCTGCAGCAGCTCAGCATGGAGAAGGAGCAGGCGCTGGCGGACCTCAACTCCGTGGAGAGGTCCCTCTCGGACCTCTTCAGGAGATATGAGAACCTCAAGGGCGTCCTGGAAGGCTTTAAGAAGGTCCTTGTCCCTCTCCGCGCCCCCCTCGCGCTCCGGGTGCCCCATCCCGCAGCGCCGCTCGCTCCCGCTCATCCCGGCGCGCGGTGTCTTCCAGAACGAGGAAGCCTTGAAGAAGTGCGCCCAGGATTACCTGGCGCGGGTGAAGCAAGAGGAGCAGCGCTACCAGGCCCTCAAAGTCCACGCGGAGGAGAAGCTGGACAAGTGAGCGTCCCGCTCGCTTCTCGGGGGAGCAGGGAGGCGGGAAGCGGCTTCTCGGGCCTCCCATCCGTGGGGTCTGTTTCTCAAAGCACGGCAAAGCCCCAGGGAGGCTCCCGGGATGTGAAAAGCCGCTGTTTACAACCTGAGATGCGAGTTTAAATGGATCCCATTAAGCCAGCACAAATCCCCAAACGGATTCCCTCATCTTCCGCTTGGCTCTTCCCCACGGAGGCCCCGAGGGGCACGGCCGGTTTGCAGGGAGCCTCCGAGGTTTTCCCACACTCGGGTTGTTTTTAGGGTTGCGACGGGAGCTGGGGACACCCGCCCGAGTGTCCCCGCGTGCCAAGCGCTGCCCCTTTCCCTCCCAGGGCCAACGAGGAGATCGCGCAAGTGCGCGCCAAGGCCAAGGCCGAGAGCGCGGCGCTGCACGCCGGCCTCCGCAAAGAGCAGATGAAGGTGGAGTCGCTGGAGAGAGCCCTGCAGCAGAAGGTAAAGCCCCCGGCGGTGCTCCCTTCGGCATCTCCTTGGGATTTTGGGGCCGGAAAGCCGTTTTTCCGCGCGCGCCTCCCTCCTCGTGGGCCTTCGCGTGGCTCCGGTGGAGGCCCCGGTGCAGAGCGGGGCTGCGCTGGGGGATGCATGCGGGGACGGGGATCCGCATCCCGCATCCCGCATCCCGCATCCCGCGCGGCTCCGGGCGCCTCCAGCTCCTCTCCTCCCGCAGAACCAGGAGATCGAGGAGCTCACCAAGATCTGCGACGAGCTCATAGCCAAGCTGGGAAGGACGGACTGAGCCCGGGCCCCCCGCGCAGCCCCCGCGCTTGGCCACGCTCCTCGTCCCTTGCCTTAGCCGGGTCCCCCCGGCGAGACGCGCGCGGCGACGGCGTCTCCGCTCCCGCCGCGGCCTCGTCCCCGGTTCGCTTTTCTCGCTCCATGGATTTGCCCCCGGGAAGGGCGCGATGCCGGATCCGGCGGTACCGGGATTTTGGGGATGGCTTCACAGCGGCACATCCCGATCCCCGGGGAAGGCAGCTCCGCGTTGCTGCACTTTATTCCGACCGCTGCCGGGAGCCCCCGTTGTCCCCTCGCGAGCGGCACAGTGCCCACGACGGGGAATATTTGCTGTTTTCACTGTTTCCTACCCAGCCTTGCTGCGACTATTAGCAAACCTTTATTTGCTGCTATCCTTTTGTAACAGAATCGGGCTGTTTGCCCTCGATTCCCTCGCTCCCCGTGTTGAGCATGCAGTGCAGACACCCGTTGAAAGCAGAGCCATACACCAATAGATATTTTATTAGGTTTATTATGTATAGAGAGACTTTATTGTACACCGAAGCGGCGGGGCCACTTGCGGCTCGAGCAGAATTTGGGAGGGGAGCAGAGTGGCACATTGCCTGTGTCCCCTGGTGTCACCTTCCCTGCCACCCATGCACTTGTAACCCGGGTGAAGAAGATTCCTAAGGAATGATTTATTAACTATAATATGGTTATAGCTACCTATAGAAAAAAAAAAGATATATAAAGGTTATAGTTATATATAATAGAAGGCGAGTTGTTTGCGAGTTTCCATGGGCGCTCTGCAAGCTGCCACCAAGTGTCCATGAGGAGCCTGCGCCTGCACCGACTACTGCCAGCATCGCTTTGCACCCTCCACGCGACGGCCACCGACGTGACTTTTCTATGTACAATAATTTCCCTTTTGTATGTCGGGTAAATATTTGTAAGAGCTACACTCACACAAATGAGATTATTATAATGATTACTAATATATTTTTTTTCCCCCTCATGTTTCATTGCCTGAATAAAAGTCGTGTTTACCACTCTGGAAAGATTCCGGGTGTTTATCAGTGGATTGGCAGCGGGTTTTAGATCAGCCAGTTTTACCTGCTGAAAAGGCCCCAATTCTGCCTCATTTTCATGAATCGGGTTGATAATTTTTGGATTTCATAGGTGCACGAGCAGCATCCGCCCCTGCTTTTCTAAATGCAGCCCCGAAATGACTTTGAGCGTCCTCTTAATTCCCGTCTCGCTTAAATGCTGCGCGGGGCAGATTTCCCTAAGCCGCAGCGGCACCGCAGCCCGGGCAGAGCCCGTTGGCACCAAGCGAGCGGAGAGCGCGCGGGGACCAACCCCATCCCTGCTTTTGGGGATGCCGGAGGGTTTTTCCCCACCTGGACTGCTGCAAACGGTGCAAACGGGTTTATTTTCCCACAGTTGCTTGTGGGACCGGCGAGAGCCGCCGCGAGGTCACCGGTGCGGGGACGGCCGTGTCCTTGGGGCGCCGCGTCCCCTCCTGCCCCGCTAAGATGGCATTAGCCGGGGGGGCTGCATAAGTGCGTTATCCTCAGCCCCCGATCCAATCCCCCTGGGAGATTAGCCCTAAAACCTTAAGACAAAGCGG